CCCCCCACACACACACACACTGGGGGCGCCAAAAGGCAACCAACAAATAAAACCCCAACAAAAAAACTACTAGCAAAGTAACAACAAAACAGTAACTACAAAAAACAAAACAACCGCCCCCCAAAAACAAACAAACTAACAAACTAATCAACAAAAAAAACAAAAACAAAAAACAATCCCCCCAAAAAGACTAACAAACAAACAAACAAAAAACAAACAAACAATAAAAAAAAAAAAAAACAACCAACAAACAAACATTAAGGCATCACCTGATTTAGATGTCATTGTGTATTCACTTAATCATCGACTGGCTGATCAGCCTATGTATTTGGTTTTGGAATATGGCGTTGCTCCATAGTCAGTTAGTTTTATGCCAGTGAAGTTGAGTCTTGTTGTTCACTAGTTGTATTGTGTTGTTTCTTTTCTGTTGGCAATCTAGTTGTGCAAGCAATAGCGTACTGTCGTGATCGATGATTGTCGCTGGCAGGGGACGGCTATAAATTATTTATACAAACTCAAGCTTTGATCCTTACTCTTTGTTCCTAATCCTTGTTTTTCGTCTCTGGCGTTTGTTTTTCATTGATTTTATTGGGTCTAGATGCAAAGCCGAGAAACGTTGGAAAAGTTTTACTTTGAATAAATACTCCAATTATAAGATACAAGTAATGAATGGTCTTCAGCAATGTGTATTGATCTGTGTATAGGAGATATCTGCGTATCTGTCTCTTTATTCAGCTGTTCATATGGTAATGATCGATATGAAAATATGGTTATAAAAAGTACTTTTGGTTATTAAAAACACTACCGAGTATTCTTGTGCTACGCTGTCGCCCTTTTAGTCAATATTCCCAATGTTAGTATTACGACACTTCAGTCGTAATGTGTACAAGATAAGATAACGTTAAGTGCAATTGATAAAATACAACCTCAGTTCAGAAAGATTTTATTTTTATTTTCTGAAGTACCAGTAAACGAATAATCAAAACCATTTGTGAGACCCATTCAGTCGAATGTTTACCTAATTGTGTCTAAAGCAAACTGTCTGAGGATTTACTCGCTCGACTCAAAACAGAGAATGTTACAGAGAACTTTGCCAAGTAATTCAACAAAACATGATCAGATAAATAAATGTAAACAAACTACGTCGATAAAGTGTGTGTAATGTGAAGTTTCTTTGCTGTTGTATACGTGCATACTAAAGGCTTTGAGTGCAACGAGAGAGAGAGAGAGAGAGAGAGAGAGAGAGAGAGAGAGAGAGAGAGAGAGAGAGAGAGAGAGAGAGAGAGGGGGGGGGGTGAGGTAGAAAGAGAGAGACTATGCGCAGATGTTTGTCACACACACAGTCTCTTACTTAATTTGTAAATGTAATTCTTCTTCTTCTTCTATCCCGTGGTTCGGGCAACCGTTGGGGCACCACTGCATTGGAAAACCAGCTCTCTATTTTTGTCCTCTGCTCACCTCAGATTATCACCCATCTTCTTTCCTGTCCACTCTGTAAAGCTGTCCTCCCTTCTCCTTCTCTGCCTTCCTCTCTTTCTCTTTCCTTGTACGGTTCCTTGCAGGATTGTTTTGGCAAGTCCTGTGGATCTTGTGACATGCCCATACCATTTTAGTTTTCATCTCTTCACTGTGGTCAGTAGATCTTAATTTTGCCCCACTGTGTTGGTGATTCTCTTTCGTACTTCAGCATTTGAAACGTGGTCTTTGTACGAGATGTCAAGGAGTCTGCGGTAACATCTCATCTCTGTGGTCTGAATCTTTTTCTCTAATTCTGCTGTTAGTGTCCATGATTCGCAGGCGTATAAGAATATTAATAATAATAATATTAGATAGCATTTTTATAGCGCATATCCCCGCTCAACAGCAGGCTCTATGCGCTTTACACTATATTATTACCCCAGCAGACCATAGAACACTCCGAAACATTCTCAGCTTCCCGGGAAGCATACAGTGCAAGCAGCCGATTAAGCGCTCAAACACTAACAAACTGACAAGATCTTTCGCTGTCTATAGCCGGGTACCCATTCCCACCTGGGTGAAGTGAGGAAAATTCGTGTAAAGTGCCTTTCCCAAGGACACAACGTCGGGTCCCTGACGGGATTCGAACCCACGACATTACGGTTGCGAGTCCGAGAGCCTAACCACTAGGCCACCGACGCCACGAGATATTGAGATGACCAGTGAGCGAATTAGTCTAATTTTTGAGCTGAGCGTGATGTTTCTGTCCCTCCAAATAGGCTTCAATTTTGACAGCGCAGCTGTTATTTGCGCGATTCTGGAGAGAATTTCTGGTCTTGAGCCTTCATCTGAGACGATAGATCTGAGGTATTTGAAGCTGTTGACGGTCTCAAGTTTCTTGCCCCTGACTTTGATGTCCGTATTGATGCCATTGGTGTTATTGGTCATTAACTTGGTTTTCTCGGCACTGATCTCCATGCCGTAGGTTGCTCAGGTTGTGTCCAGCCGCTCCACTAGTGTGGCGAGCTCATGTTCTTCTCCCGCTAATCCATCGATGTCATCGCCAAAACGCAAGTTACTGATTGTCCTGCCTCCAATACTGATTGTTCCATTGTGGTCTTCCAGAGTGTCAGTCATGATTCGTTCTAGGAAGATGTTGAAGAGAGTGGGAGAGAGCAAACAGCCTTGCCTCATCCCGACCGTTGTCCTGAACCAATCACCCATGCTGCCGTTAAGGTAGACTGCGCTGGTGGCCTTGTCGTATAGTTGTTGTATGACGTTGATCAGGTTGGCGTTGATGTTGTATTTCCTCATGGTTGCCCATAAGGCTGCATGCCAAACCCTGTCGAAGGCCTTTTTAAAATCCACAAAGATATGGTATAGGTTTTGTTGGTGTTAGAGGTACCTCTCGCACAGTATTCTGAGGTTTAAGATCTGTTCTGTTGTGCTGCGCCCTGCTCTTCGGCAATGATCTTCTCTGCCTGTGGTTTCAATCTGTTCAGAATTATCTTCAACATAACCTTACTCGGGTGGCTTATTAGACTGATGGTGCGGTAATTCTGACATAGTTGCAGGTTACCTTTCTTGGGGAGTGTAATCACTAGTGATTGTGTCCATGGTGTTGGCCACTTTCCTGTCTGCCAGATCTTGTTGCAGATGACAGTCAGAGCGCTTATCATGTCCTTTCCCTCAGCCTGTATTAATTCTCCTGGGATGTTGTCCACTCCTGCTGATTTCCCCTTCTTCAGTGCTTTAACTGCTGCTTCAATTTCTTCTCGAAGGATTGGGTGGTTATCGATGTTGGTTGCTGGGGGAAAGTTTAATTTAATTATTCACAGTCAAAAGCCTTAGAAATTGAAATAATTTCACAATGTTGACAATACCATTCTACTTTTTAGAATTGTTATGTATTAGGCTAATCACTAAAATGACCAACAACAAAAAAAAAACCCAGCACATTCTTTCATTAATTAATTAATTAATTAATTAATTAATTAATTCTTCTTCTTCTTCTTCTTCTTCTTCTTCTTCTTCTTCTTCTTCTTCTTCTTCATCTTCTTCTTCTTCATCTTCTTCTTCTTTTTCTAATTTTCTATACTGGATACATATCAAAGGCAATATTGACCTTTCAATAGCAGCAACATTATGCTGGATGTAGGATCTGCAACACGCTCCGACAGTCTCAACTGATAGGTATGTCGTGCTAGAGCAAGGCGCTTGGAACTGAGTGTGTAACTGGCCATATTTCAGAGTCTGTTTACATATTTTATGAGGCATGAATTTTCTAGTCTCCCACCCTTTTACTGCCCCTTGCTACTGACCGCTACTGATCGTTAAGGGGTGCACGAAACACCAGACTTGAGATCATTAAGATAACACGCTTGATGGGAGGTTTTGTATACCTCAAGTGATAACTGTGCGATTTCAAACCGCCCTATTGTTAAAAATGCCTTGCTTTAGAATCGGGTTTCTCTTACGGTCTGTGCACCCAGTTCGATTTTGTGGTGCCTTGATGTCACTCAACATTTGTAGATACGTCTTTTGAGGTTGAATAGTGTTGTATAGTGTTCAACGTCGAATGGAACCATGGTACAGTGCTTTCGATTTCAATAAGTACCGGTAGTATGTTCTGCACATAATTTTATTATCGAATCCCTTTTATTATTGTATTGCGCCACTATATCACACGGTCACCTCACAGAGAGTAAATGGCTTTAGTGTCTGGACTATCTGCATTTACCTGGGTGTGTTTGCAGAGATGTACAGCCACTGGTTGTTGTTGTTATTTCGGAAATTTGTTTATTTCTTTTTCATCGGCTAGGAAAATACTGTTCGATGGGGATAGCAGTCAGCGTAAAGAAAGATGGTGAGCTAGAACTTTAAGTTTAAAGTACACTGTTCGAACGTTCGCATTTTCCGGACTTAAGAGTTTCTTCAATTCTAATCCGTCGAGTTTCCATCTGTTACATGTTTTGCACCCAATTTTCGTAACTGTTAAAAAAAAAAAAATCTAATTCCCACCCTTTCCCCAACACTCCTCACCACCAATTACCCGGATATAATTCTCAAGACTAAAAAGTTGATAATGTTTTAAAAATATTTGCGATGATTGGTGACAGCATGATATTGATATTGGAAACTAGTATAAATAAGCAAACAAACAAACGTATAAAACTGAATATTTATAGAAATGGGACTTACCTATCATTAGCAAACTAATACTTTACAG